CCCAAGCTTGTTGTTACTTGTGACAAGGTAATGTCACTCTGTCCAGTGTGAAAGGTGAAAAGGAACCACATTAAATTTTCTAGTATTCAGTTTATGATAACAGCTAGTGCCATGAGACTACGATTAACACGTCTAATTCAGTCAATAAATCTTGCCAAGGTGTTCAGAATAGTCTGGTCAGACTTTCATTCCTGTATTTATCTTCGGTTGGACTTCATGTCAGCTGATTTTCCTTACAGGTAACCTCCAGAATTCTAAGCAATATTACACAGCAATAGAAACACACTACAGGACAAATTTTGGAATGATTAAGAATTTCTGACGGATCATGTGATACTGAAGACTGTAGTCTTGACTGCTGACAATTCCGCTTTGCCATCACAGGAAAAAAAACTTTTTATAATATATTATTAGAACAGTTATTTTAAATGTCTTACTGTATTTGTGATCAAATAAATGCAGCCTTGGTGACCATAAAATACTTTTTAATAACATTATATATCTTAATTTTTCCAAACTTTTGACCGGTAGTATACAAATTATTTTAATTGCTATTTTACTGGCTTTGGTTTGTATAAAATCTCTCAAGAAAAAAAAAAACTATTTTTGACTTGAATAATATATATTTAATATTTTATAGGTTAATCGTTTTAACAATAGTCAAAGTAATATAAAGTTGCTGTAAGTAAGCAAGACAGTCCAATAGATAAGCTGTGAACACCCTGTATTTGCACTTGAGGTTTGACACCCTTAAAATCAGCATAGCTTCTCTGAATTACCTTACACAGGGTTCAAGAGTTTCTGGACAGTTAATGGAACTGTCATTCACCATTTTGGGCCAGTGCTGCATTACTAATAAAAATGTTAAATTCGTTGTACATCTTGTATATCCATTTTTATGCCTGTACTATAAGACAACATGTGTACTTCTAGTTGTGCTACTGTTAGGGCCACAAGCTCTTGACATGCACACACACAATCACTGTAGACCAGGCATGCCCATAAAACATATCCAAAAACATATATAACCTTCTGAAGGAGGAACCCATAAATCTTGTTAAGGGGCCCAGATATAGATATCCACTACTGCCTATCTATGGTCCTTATGGCATTACAACTAAACCAAGGCCAAGAGTCGAGGTCATGCCAGCATGTGCTAAGAACATATTCACAGATTCTATGGTATATAGCATATAGATGTATATACTGTATGTGAATTCATTTTTAGTATGATAAAATGTTACTTTTTTCCCAAGCTTGTTGTTACTTGTGACAAGGTAATGTCACTCTGTCCAGTGTGAAAGGTGAAAAGGAACCACATTAAATTTTCTAGTATTCAGTTTATGATAACAGCTAGTGCCATGAGACTACGATTAACACGTCTAATTCAGTCAATAAATCTTGCCAAGGTGTTCAGAATAGTCTGGTCAGACTTTCATTCCTGTATTTATCTTCGGTTGGACTTCATGTCAGCTGATTTTCCTTACAGGTAACCTCCAGAATTCTAAGCAATATTACACAGCAATAGAAACACACTACAGGACAAATTTTGGAATGATTAAGAATTTCTGACGGATCATGTGATACTGAAGACTGTAGTCTTGACTGCTGACAATTCCGCTTTGCCATCACAGGAAAAAAAACTTTTTATAATATATTATTAGAACAGTTATTTTAAATGTCTTACTGTATTTGTGATCAAATAAATGCAGCCTTGGTGACCATAAAATACTTTTTAATAACATTATATATCTTAATTTTTCCAAACTTTTGACCGGTAGTATACAAATTATTTTAATTGCTATTTTACTGGCTTTAAAATAGATATTAAGATTTATCTTGTTTGTAAATGGCAATCACTTCAAATATTGTCTTTTTTAGCAGCCTGATGAAAGCCAGTGTTGCTTTGAGACCTAATTCAGATGACACAATTATAGGTTAGTCTGCTTTTCTGCCTCATAAATCTTCAGTTTTAAAAGCTTGCATTGTTTTTGGACACCACACAGGTCTGAGTTTACTGTATGTGTGAGGTCCACAGATTTGGCCATTTAGTTCACAATAGGGTCATTTGGACAATTTTATGCCATTTTGAATTATACAAAGAAATTAAGCAAATGTAGAGGAGGGGCAAAAGAAACCATAATCTCCTGGTATTTATTTTGTCAACGTTCAATCAATGGCATAAGCCTGTGGCTGTGACTACTTCCAGAACAAACAAATCAGCGTCATAAATCTGTTTCAGACTGCGTTCAGAGTTTCATCAAGCCGTGGGTTCATCATTACAGCTTTATGTTCCAGGCCATATCACTGGACTCGATCAGATGTCAGGGAAGCGACAGCAGATTGTCACCTTCTATAATGCAACAGTCCACGTAATTGCTTTTAGAAGATACCTTCGCTTACATTTCATCATTAAATTGATAGTCAGCTAGCAGCTGACTGATGCAGTGAAGGTCATCATTCAGCATGGTTTAGCTCACCATCTTTTAAGTCATAACCCTTTGCCATGTGCTGAATTTACGAGTGCAATCATGCGTTGTGTGTAGCTGCTTTATTGAGTTTGCATTCAGCTGCTTGACATGGCTGGCCCTTCAGCTCAAGGGTCTATTTGGAGTAAGCAGCACATTGTAGTAATGTAATCTATACAGACAGCAGAAAGACATTGTGTTCTTTGCCTCATGTGCTTTGTGAATGTGCCATGATTTTCTTTAAATTCCAAATTTGTTTGTTTGGAATTTAAAGACGAGTATAATGAAAATGCAGTTTTTGATGATCACAATGACACTGAGAGTGATATTAATGATTAACAATGTTGGGGTTAATAATTATATTTCTGCAATGATGATGATGATGATGAGGACAATGCTCATCAATACAATGCTCAAAATAAAACAAATAAATTACAAATTAAAGTTGAGCTGTGTTGGGATGGAAATGGCATATCAGTCTGAGCGTAATGGAGGTGCTGGAATTTACAAGAATACCACAGAGGACACACTGTGGGCTTCTCCAGACAGTCTCGCCACAGTCCCACACAACCATTATGTGCAAATGTCAATGTCAAAAGCCCAACTCAAAGATGAGCTGGTTATTCATTAATGATATGATTGTGGATGGAGTCGTTCACATTTCAACATTCCTGTTCATGTAGTTCATGTGGTTATATCATGCTCAAACACATAATGTTTGTCTTGTAGCTGTCTATTTTTTATTTATTGCCTTGTCCCTCCATATGTGTAAATGCTATTTATTTATTTAGTTATATAATCATTTTATATAAATGTATAATATGTTTAGATATTTATACATTTAGAACATATACAACTTAATACCACAAATGCTGTCAGTAGAGTGAATTTGTATTAAATCCTTTATATTCCTTTCCTCTGACAACAGACAATGTCAAAAACACAATTAAGCCCAAACTGAAAATGATCTGTTTTAGTAATTAAATTTTAGCCTTGTTAGCCTTATTTGCTCATAGAGGATCAGAGTTAGTTGGTGTTAGAGCAGTGCACTTATGGTCACTGCCCCAGACAGCAGAGGAAGATCCATTGTTAGCGTGAAGAATAAGGGAGGAGAAAAGGATGTGAATTGGAGAGAGAACAACAAAATCCTTTCATCCACAGAATTAGTGGGTTACATCAACCAGTTCAGCCGGGGATGGAGGGGAACATACCAAAGCAACAATCAGTCCATAATCATGGTACTTTTTAAGTAGTCCTAATAGCAAATACTGCTTTGAATTAAATGTAAAGTACCTAGATTTATTTAAAGATTGATGTTGATTCTTGTTTTGTTTTGACTGTGTCTTTCATTCAGTTTAATGTGGGAGATCCTGTATGTTTAATGTTATCTGAACCAGTGTTAATCTGGGCTGAGTGACGAGAGGAATATGACATGAAGTAAGCAACAGTATCCTCTAGTCATGTGATCTAGAGAATGATTCTAGGCCCCTAAATGTAAAGCTATGAAGCTTGCAAGAACAGAGGGGGGGTTTCTTAAATATGTTTCCAATTTCATGGCAAAATATCTATTTATTTAAAAAAAAACTCTTATCTTTCTCATCATCCTTAAGGTAACAGTTTCTACACTGTACTTCAGATATATTCAAACAATTACCAGGCTGACTTTGGTATTATATTACAGGCTTGTCTAACCTCATGTTGGGATATCATTTTATACATGATAATGACATTCCTTTGCATAATAAACTGCAGACACAACAGGTGCTGGTCCCTGCAGGCAGCCGAAAACCAACCCCTTGAGCTTCTTGTTTTTCATGCTAGTTGGTCTAAGGACCATTATAAATAAATACAACATGGATTATATAATTAGACTATTGCTATCAGGGGATACTGACTCACACGAAAGGAATGAAACCAGACATGACTAGATTACAGATGCCTTCACCAGCAAATTTGCAACACCATAAAACATTAAGACTTGTTTTCATAGACTGTATCTTGAACAGAAGTACATTTAGTCCTATTGCGCTGGGAAAAAAAACTTGAACTTTTTATACTTACAAAAGCAAGTGAAAATCGTGTTAAGAATACATTCTCTGAAAACAAGCCTCAATAATATTTTGAATACATTTATCTTGTTTTAAAGATTTTTAGAAGTAATGTTTTTTTGCAGTGTAGGGAAATAATCACTGAAACCCATTTGAAAAGTTGTTCTTCTACCTTGTACTTCTGGAAAGTCAATTGATTCATCGTCAACATAAGGTTTAGGACAAGACAGGCACATGAGCGGGACACAAAACACAACAAATCTCACATCCAGACAGGTTAGCGAATTAAACAGCATACGAGGGGAGACAAACACAAATAACATTTCTTGTCTGTCTTTGTTTCAGAGCCAACGTTTCAAGCCACACATTTTCAGATACAAGTAACGCTTAAACGCTGAATCTGGATCAGCTCCCACCATGAAGTAAATCACAACTAATCTAAAATCAGTATAATAGGTTGGTTTTAAAACAAGTCTCCACTTACCTATTTGGGGCATTTGGTTGGGAGAAGAGAGCCAGGCTATTGGCCTGTTTGTTGACATTGTTACTTGTGATAGCATTTGTTGAGCCATCTTGGGAATTTAGTTTCTTATTGTTCTTTATCATACTTCCGCACCAGAAAAGCTGAATGGAGGGCAAATGTGCTCCTGTAGCACTCACACCTGCTCTGGGACCCAAAGAGACCTTAAAATCCACAAATAAACCAACCCACGGGAATACAGAGACTGAAATGCTTTCAGAAGGATGAAAAAGTGTCTAATTGATGAGAAATCAACACATGATGGGATGCTGGTTGTTGTGGATAGTCTTAGGATGATTGATTGGTTGCTGATCCTTACCTGGTGGTGCAAACAAGGTATTGTGTATGGGTTGATAAAATGACCTGGTGAATGGGTAATAAATAAGTGCTGAAAGTCCCAAAATAATGACTACGTCCAATAGATGATACCAGAGCGCTGTAGTTAGAAGATCTTCATTTGACGTACATTGAAGAAAATTTTCTTTCTTCAACAAATGATTTGATAAAATCAAGCTGGCATTGCCTTGTTGACAAAAATGACACACTTTCATATGCTGCAAATACCCCTTTAAAAAATGGAAAGTCTCAAAACAAGGTGGGATTGCAAAGAGTGTCCTTGGATTTCAAGCCACACGTCTTCTGCCTCCCGGATCAGTGAGTTGGTGTAGCTGGGCCAAAGCGTCACATGCCGGACGTCTGTAGGGAGGGGAGAGAAGGGCGATCTAGAGACAGAAAGAGAGAGAGAGAAATATATGGTATTTTCCTCTCTCCATGCTTGGTAGCAAAGGGTCATTTAAAGAGACATTCCTTCATTCTATATCCTCTGCCCCCATTCCCCTCTCTTTTTTTTTTATCTCTCTCTTGCTCTCATAGCTAACTGCTGACCCCATGTGTTGGCTCAATCTCTTGCAAATTGACATTTTAATTAGATATGTTAACAAGACCTGTCATCTGAGTAATTTTAGCTATTTAATTAAAATATCCAATTAGTAAGATTAGCAGCACTCCATTTCCTTGCAAGGCCTCAAGATCACGTCACCTGTCCTTTGTAACGTCCGTCCAACATTTAGGGTCTGGAATTATAGTCAAGGATTGTTCACCATTCAGAATTAAATTTAGATTGCCTTATAAATTCTTATAATTTAATCAGATTTAAATTGAGATAGAATTAGAAAACAGGATGTAGAATTGCAATTTGAATTTGGATAAAAAGGAAGTGGGAGGAAAATTTGAATTACTAGACTTTGTTTGAAAAGACTGAAAAAATATTTGAAGTTTGATAGGCCTTATGGATGGGTGGATGAGCTCATCTTGCTCATTGTCAAATATGACAAATCATTGTATAAGTTTTGTAATTGTACAATAAATTTGGATTTATGCCCAGTCAACTGTGTTGAAGCCTCCATGAATTCTCTAAATCAGATCTGGAATGCAAACTTATCCTCCACTCAAACTCAGCTGTCACTGGAGGCTCAAGAGATAGAATATCCTAATAAGTGTGTCCTGTGTGAGTGGACAGGTTCAACTGTACCTCTGCCCCCTCCATCCACTGGCAGTAAATCCCTCATCTTTGACCTCCCAGATATCAATTACTACACTCGAACTGTGTGAAGAGGAAACTGCATGGCTGTAAATAGTTGACAGAACAACTGAAAGTGCTGTTAAACATATGAGCCCAGTTTTTTGTCTGTTCATTTCCTATTGAAACAAGATGAGGTGGGATATATTAAAAGGGCATGTTCTTTTTAGAGGCCGAGCACCGATGGTGCGAGGACCCTCTTGGAACTGCTCTTGTTTATTATTTAAAATTAGATTTTTAATTAGATCAAGCCTGATAATTCTAATAAGAATTACAAATTTACACATTTTATACTTTCTAAATGTGTATATTTGCTAAAACCCAGGTAGCCAAAACAGTTTGGCCCAATAATGGCCCAGATCCGGCAGGCCGGAAGAAATAACTCGGCCTGGCTGCGGTTGCCAGACTCGGCATGGACATGGGATGAATGACGCCCCAGAATCGGCTCAAATACACTGGCCCGAGTCCGGCTGCCAAAACTGCCGGCATTGGGCCACAATCACGCCAACAAGAATTGAAGCAATTAGCCAGTACTGGCCCGAGTCTGGGTACTGGAACTGAGCCAACACTACCGGCACTGGGCCACAATCACACCAACCAAAATGGTACAATTAGCCGGCACTGGTCCGACACTGGGTACCGAAACTGAGCCGACACTGGGTTACAATCATGACGACACCTAGCCGGTACTAGTCTTTTTCGCAAAAAAAAAAAATAAATTTGTATATATATATATATATATATATATACATACATACATATACATACACACACACACTTACTCATACAGAATTACAACTTTTAAAATATGTGTATTAAAGACTCCTTCCAGTTTTGATATAAAACGAGCTTTGAATAATTTGTTTTTCCACAAAATGACATTGTTACCTTAAAATCCTTAAGATGGCATCTTTCAACTAAAATAAAATATAGATTTTACAGTGTCCTTGTTAAGTCTGCATGTACTTATGCATGTCAACTAAATGTCACCTTTACAATGATTAAGAGTTTGCATTACATTATTTCTTTTCATGGCATCCCCACCTACTACCCCATAACCCCCCCCCAAGTATAAAAATGACAATGAAAATATGAGTGATATTAAAATTTATTTTGGAAAAAAAAATCCAGGAGCTTCCTCAAGTAAGCGCATCCTAAAAGAAGGACAGATTGACAGAAAGAAAGACAAAAAGGTAAAGAGACAATGACACGTATGATTATTCAGACAATCTCAGACTGATAACATGAATGGTAACTCTGGTAAATGTTAACATTTGGAACATACCTTTGGAAGAATTTGTTTGCATTCGGGC